TTGTCTTGGTCTCTTTTGGGAGATTGGTAAATTGTCACAAGTGTGCTTCCCAGCCCGCCATGTTGGCATATTCCTCTAACCCCACCTACTCCAGAGGAGAGGCCAGATAGGAGGGCTCCCAGGCAAAAGCATGACTTTCTGTCCGAGTGGGAGCTAGAGGGGGCAAAGGGCAGGTAACAGGCTGCTCTGTCCCCTGGGCAGCTGGGAGCAAGTTTGTATTTCTGAAAGGAGCCCAAACCCAGCCTTTGATGGCTGGCTCAGGGATAAGCCTCTTTCATCTGGGTCCCTACCCTCAGGTCCCTTGGTCTGCACCAGGCCAGGTCCTACAGAACACCCCACACTCAGGATGGGTGGTGATTCCACGGGGCCGTCCTCACACTCCCACCTCAGACCTGGGGAGTGTCTTAAAGGCTTGTTAGCTGGAGGTCCAGGTGGTAGTGGAGCACCTGCCTGGCATGCTGGCGACCCTGGGTTCCATCTACAACACTTGTGAACACCCAGAAGGCTGCCAGATTCAGGCCCGACACCTAAAGCAAGGGTAGGATTGTCATATAATCCATTGTCCAAACTGGAGTACTTTTGAGATTGGACAGAGTGCTGTTGATGACCTGGCAGCAGGCCCAAATTAGGGCATCTCACACTGTGGTGCTCATGGTGGCCCTGGCTATTTGTGTGTCACCTCAGGAACACCATTGCCCATCTGCCCCATAGTCTTGCTGGGTGAAGGTTGAGGTCAATGCAGTCAGCTCATCATCGGCACCTGCCCCTGCATGACTGAGGACGGGCTGGTACTACTTCCCTGGAACCTTGCCACATCCACAGTGCAGTTTGGTGTTGCTCACCCTGTCTCAGGAGGAGGATTTTTACGGGATGTGGGGTTCTGCCGGCCTGTTAGGCAGGCTTCAGAGTGGCCCATAGGGAATGGAGGGTTTCTAGACGAAGGAGCCAGGTCTGAACCCTGACTAGCCTGTGCTGGAGGAAATGCATCGGTTGGTCACAAGACCCCCCGAGGCAGTCTACTCACGACTCAGACTTTGCTGGGGCTGGAAGCTGGCAATGTGCCTGTCCTCGCTCACCTGCACTTCCCATGGGGTAGCCAGGAGAAGCTGCTCCACCTTCACCCCGTCCTTTCTTACCTTGCCTGCTTTCTTCTGCTTCCTAAGGTAGCAGAGGAGGAAGATCTTCCGAAACAGAAAGAGCGGACACATTTCACTGTCCGCTTGACAGAGGCAAAGCCGGTAGACAAAGTGAAACTGATCAAAGAGATCAAGAACTACATCCAGGGCATAAACCTCGTCCAGGTGGGCTTCCTGTGCCTGAACCCTCTTCCCTGGGACCAGCATAAGCTGACAGTTATCTGGGGTGGTCCCTTCCAACATGGGCTTGGGTATGGTGGCATAGGGCTCACGAATCTCTTGACTTTGCTGTCTGTCTCTGGCAGGCCAAGAAGCTGGTGGAGTCCCTGCCTCAGGAAATCAAAGCTAACGTCGCCAAAGCTGAGGCAGAGAAGATAAAGGCGGCCCTGGAAGCCGTGGGCGGCACGGTGGTTCTGGAATAGCCCCACCTCTGAGGACTTATGGACTGGGGTCCCTGGGACCCGGCGAGGCCCTGCCTGCCCTCTCCACCCCCAGCACCAGGCTCCCAGATGGAGATTCCAGGGGGCTGGAGTTACTGGCCCTAGTGGCAGTCTGTCTCGGGGGGGGACAAGATGGACCTGCTGTGGTGGGGGGAGGGAAGCCACTGCCTGTGCAGAGCACAAGAGGCCACCTCAGAAGGTACGGGGTTACAGGAGTTCTTCTGGTGGCTGCTGAGAAAAATACACTGTTGAGGCTTGGGTGTGCGGAGTAGTGTGCCCAGGGTGGGTGGTACGAAGGGCCCCTGGGTGGTGTGGTTGGAACTTTGCCAGGACTGGTCCTTCCCCTTCGCCCCTCCACTCAGCTCCCCTGTGTGCAGAGGCCTGGCCAAGCTAGGAACAGGGGCTGCTGTTGGACGGGCCTGGCCCACCCTCTGGCTGCAGGCCCCTTAGTGCCTCTGCTGTGTAGCTGGCTGTAATGGCCAGGGGCCTTGCTCTGAGGACCCTTGGCCTCCTTTTCTCAGACAATCCCATGTTCAGCAAGACTGGGAGAGGGACAGTGAGTGTCCTTCTCTGGCCCTAGATAGGCTGACTTCCACTTCCTGTGAGCAAGAGGCTGTAGGATTGTAGAGCGCCCCCTTTGGGGAACATAGTGTAAGGCAAGGGGCCCCTGGGAGGCACACCCAGCTCTGCCCACTTGGTGGGAGTGCCTGACAGGCCCTGTCCAGCCTACCTAACAAGGGCCTTCAGTGTCCTTGCTGCCCTGCCAGCCTCCACCTGGAGTCTCCCTCTGGCCCTGGCAGTTCCTCAGGTTAATGAGTATCCAGCAGCACGTCTCTGGCTTCACCTCAACCAAGGTGAGCTGCCCTGGGCCTGGGTGCAAATAGACACGCTACTGACCCTGGGGAAGGCACTGAGTGTCCCAGCTCAGGGACAGGCCCCTGCATCTTAGAGAGCTGAGCCCATAGTCTAGTCAGTATGGACTGGTGGCTCCCTGCCCAGATAAGGGGGCCTTTCACTCCTGGACTTCCAGAGGGTGACTGCTTGAAGGTRGAGATGACCGTGACATCAGGCCATTGCCGTAGCCTCATCCCACCTCACCATCAGGGGCCATCCCTGATAGCAGGTACTCAGGTACTCGTCCCTCCAAGTTGTGTCTGCTGGGTGTCCTTCCCCTGGCCACCCTGGGCCTTTTCAGGTGGCTCCTTGATCAGGCCCTTTGTTGTCTGGTGTCATGTTCACAGCTAGACACTCAGGGTCACTCCAGGGAACTGGGCTGCATGAAATAACCACACAGARACAGAGAAGGACCTTTATCTTTGGGTCCTGTGATGGCCCCTCTGAACCCTTTTATTGGGGAGAGGCCATTCAAATGAGGCCAGGGTTAGGGTTACAAGGGAACAGGTGAGTGCAGCTCAACCCCTCTGAGCGCCCCCTGCTCCTAGGGCCATGCCTTGATATCCAAGAAAGGGAAAAGCCAGAGTCCCGAGTCAGGCACTGCCAGCCAGTCTACAGTGATCTTTGAGGTCCCCGTGGTGCATCAGGACTTAAAGGTGTGTGCATTAGGAGTGGCTCCCCACAGTCCAGGACTCCCCAGCTCCCTTTCACCTGCTCCAGACTGTAAGTGGTCCATAAGGAACTGTCTTGTATCTGAAAATAGAGTGATATGACTACYTTCTGGTGAAGTGTGTCCCTGGAGGCCTCTTGGCCTTGACCTTTGGACCTAGCATCCGGAGGTGGCACTGGGAATCCTGAGTTCCCTTCTTTTTGGGGGGAGGTGCACTCAACCACTGAGCCACATCCCCAACCCTATTGTGTTGTATGTAGAGACATGGTCTCACTGGGTTGCTTAGTGCCTCACATTTGCTAAGGCTGGCTTTGAACTTGGGATCCTCCTGTCTCAGCCTCCTGAGCCACTGGGATTACAGGTGTGAGCCTCCACAACGTGCTCTGAGCTCCCTTCAGAACCAAACCTTGGTTGATTCACCAAGTCCTGAAAGAGATCAGACAAGCATCTTTTTCTTCAGGTTGGCAAAGGTCTAACAGGACAGGGCAAAGTCCGTAAGTGACCAACCCCACCCCACAGGCCCCCTGCTCAGGGATCTGCTAAGTCACCTGTATGGCTCCAAACACCTTGAAGTGTGTGCCAAGGGACCTGGCACCCCATGCTGTGGACACGGGGCCTGGTCCAGAGCCTAGCTGGGTAGCCCTGTCCTCAGCCTATGAACAAACATGTTCAKTTGAGAATCCTCGTGGGTTTGCACACCTGGAGTTTGCAAAGTCCACGTACCTTAGAGCTTCTAGTCTTGGGTGCATTTGTTTGCCCTGATTCCTCATCTCTAGGTCCCACTTGCCCCAGGCCTTCTGTCACCTTTGCTTGGCTAGGTGTGGGTCGCAGTAAACACTCTCATCTGGTGTCCCCCTGACAATTCCTGTGACTTCCCTGTCCACCCCTCTGCATGGGCGGTACTCCCAACACATCTGAAAACACAGAGGCACTTGACTGGGACATGACCGCAGGGTCAGAGTCCACCTGGAGTTCTACAAGACAGTCTTCACATGGGCCACTAGAATAGGCATGGTGGGGTTTGCTCTGCATCCACGTGGCTGGAGGATCACTGGGCCCTCAGACAAGGCTGGTCACCTTATATGGGTGTTTGGCTGGTTCATGAGACCAGGGCTTGCTTTCTAGTGCCTCACCTTTATGTCTGGGCAGGGGTAGGGTGGCACTAGTTGTCAAGCCTTACTCCTAAAGCAACCTTGGGACTTGGGTTCACCTTGCCCCAGGTGCACCTTGAACCAGGAGTACACCTGTTTCCTCACACTATTAGGAAGTTGGGTCAGGTGGGAGCCTAGATGTCGGTTGGTTTCTCCTGCTGGGGCCAGGAACCCACCTCTCAGCCTCCCCCAAGGTGGCTGCCTGGGGTTGACTGGTCGGAGCAAAGCCTGAACTGGACACTTGCTGGGAGCTCTGGATGTTGAGGGTGGTGGAACTGTCTTAACTAATTGTTTTTGCCCCTGGATTTTACTTCATCTGCAAGCTGGCTCCAAGGAAATTTCCTGTCCCCCTCCACAGTGGGCGGGTTGGGGGGTGCTGGGGGGGGTGTCGAGGGCCTCCGCCCTTGTGGCACATGAGCTGGTACAGGTGGTGCAGGTTGCAAGTTCAGGCTGCGCTGAAGCCAGGGTGCTTCCAGGGGCCAAGCCTTCCAGGGCACGTGGTGTGGCAGAGTGATTTTGGAAGCCGCATCCTAAGCCGGGATGTAGGGAGTGGAGGTGGTCATTCGGTCAGCGCCAGGCCCGGCTTTGACTTCGGTGGGACAGTCCCAGGCTCGGCTCCTCGCCGCGGCCACTTTAAGACGCTGGGTCCGCCCCTGGGACGTGGCTCGCCGGCCCTCTCTCGCCGGGGCGGAGTCCCGCAGGTCTCGCCCCCGGGCCGCGCGGGCGCATTGGCTGCGCGGGGCGCGGGCGCACGGTGGCACTTTGAACCGGGCTCCGGGCAGTTGCGGTCGGGGTCGCGGTAGCGGCCGGGTCGGGCAGGCCGAACTGCAGCTAAGCGGGAGATGGCTGCCGAGGCGCGCGTGTCGCGCTGGTACTTCGGAGGACTGGCCTCCTGCGGGGCCGCCTGCTGCACACACCCGCTGGACCTGCTCAAGGTGAGGCCGGCCGGGCCGCCGTCGGGACGCTCTGGCCGCGCACCGGTGTTGGTCGTAAGCTGTAGGATAGTGGCGCCGGCGCGGCGGTCGCCCTGCGCAGCACCCAGGGCCTGGGCCTGCCGGCCGGGTGGAAAAACCCCGGGGACCCTCTGCAGCTGGCCCCCTGGCCGCGCTCCTCAACTTGCCAACCGGCTCCCCTGTCTTGGCAGGGGACTGTCCAGCTTGCGCTTTAATACCTGCGTGAACGTGATCGGTGGCACACACTTGTGGGTGGTCCCAGAGACTTGGGAGGCTGAGGCTGGAGGATCACAAGTTTGGGGCCAGCCTTAGTGACTTAGCAAGACTGTGTCCCAAAATTTAAAGAGGGATGGGAATGCAGCTCCAAGGTAGAGCACTCCAGGGTTCTGTCCCCAGTCCCCGGGTGGAAAAGTCTGGGATGCACAGGTGTTGGGTCCTAGAGATTGYCTGCATCCCACACCTGGCCCAGGGCCCAGCTGCCCCCAGCCTGGTGAGTGACTATATTGAGCTAGAGGGGAAAGGCAATGAGGGCTGAGGCCTAGGTTAGTGGGGTGACCCAGGCCCATGGCTTGGGCACTTCCTCTGCTAGGTGTAACTAGGCCCGGGGAAGGCTGTCTGGTCCACGCAGCCCCTGGAGAGATGCCAGGAGACCCTGCATATGTGCAGCTCCCAGCAGAGTGGGCATCTCAGCACCAGAAGTATACATGCTTCACTTTTTCCTTTGAAAAAAGTACTTATGGAACAAAAGAAGACAGAGCTCCCCTTGTTCCCCAGGGCCAGCCAAGGGGTGGTTCTCTGACCCTACCCCCCAACAGAGAACAAAGGAAGGGCCTGAGGCTGTACCCAGTCTGCCCAGGGGGCTCTGCCGTGTGGTCACGCGGTGGCCTCTGGGCAGGGTACAGCCGGGCCTGGCCACCCTCTGCCTCTCCCCTCCTCCCAGAGCTGGTTGGGATTGGCCCTTGTGACCTGGGCTGGTAACCCAGCCTCCGGGTGGTTCCTGTGCCTGGGTGTCTAGGCCCTTGCTAGGCCTGCAGACCTCTACTTTCTAAAGAGAAGGTGGGCTTTTTTAATCAGCAAGAAAGCTGGCCACCCCTTACGGATGGGGCTGACTCATGTGCCCAGAGAGGCCTGCACGGATCCGGCCTGTGGGCCAAGGAGAAGCCCTCGAGCAGCAGGGGCCAGTGGGGCTGGAAGGGCACCTCCCTGGGGCTGCTCTCTCTACTCTTCCAGATGGCCACAGTCCCCTCCCCACCAGCCCTCTGGTGTTGACCGACTGTGACCTTGGAATCCTTTGCTGTTGTCCCTTGTCCAGGCCCCCTTGGGCGTCACTGCCCTGCCCCTGACCCCACCTATGTGCTCTCTTGCTACAGAACACTGCCTGGAGCCAGCAGGGGAGGTGGCCATTGAGGGAAGTGTGAAGGATGGGCAGGGGCAGTGTCCCACCATTGGGGAGCAGTGGTCAGAGCTTTCCTCTAGGGTTACTCACCAGGACCTCAGGGTGTGGCCATTTGAGAAACTGTTTTGAAGTTTGTTGATCTGTCCCACTCTGCCCACATGCTGGCTTGGTCCTTGTGGTTGCTTGTCACGTGAATGGGGACTGCTATCCATGTGGCCACTGTTCTGGGGTCCAGTCCCTCTGTCCCGCCTGGGAGGCCAGTGTTGCTGATCTGGGTTCCAGGCCCCCCTCGGTCCCTACCCATGTTTGCTGTCCCCTATCCTTTTGGGGGCTCCCCTGGGTAAGTTTAAGGGGGACCATGCTTGGCAGTGGACAGGCTTCCTTGGGGTCAGTGCCAAGGGTGGGACCTGGGGAGTGAGATCCTGGGCCTGGCTGCTGGCCTGTGGCCCATGGCCCCAGCTTCTGCAGGGGACATAAGCCATCAGAGCAGGGAGGTGTGGCGGGGGCACCCTGCACACAGTCTCTGGGGGACTCCACTGTCCCTGCCTTAGAGATGGGGCCCGGGGAGTGCTGAGCTGAGGGTCTCTGAGGGGGTCTCACGGTGGTCGTTCCTGGAAGGGTCCTCAGAGCTGGCGTGGGGCTCTAGGCAGCACCCCACAGCCTGGTCCCTGCCCCCCTTGCCCCAGGTGCACCTGCAGACGCAGCAGGAGGTGAAGCTGCGCATGACGGGCATGGCGCTGCAGGTGGTGCGCTCTGATGGTGTCCTGGCACTCTACAACGGCCTGAGCGCCTCGCTCTGCAGACAGGTGGGCACCTCCTGGGGGGCCTGAGCTTGGACCTGCTGGGCACACCAGGGAGCTCAAGCTGCTTCCAGCCTTTTTCAAGGTGTACGTGGAGCAAGTGACCCCAGGGTGGGTGTGGGGCTGGACCCCAGGCTGCCACTCACAGAGGTGGGCGGGAGCTGAGGTGGGCGGGGGCGGTGCAGCCGCAGATTTGTGGACAGGTTCCACGCTCACTAGCCCAGTGGCCTGGGGTCAGTCCCTCCAAGTCCCCAGGGACCGCAGGGTGTTGGCCGTGCCTTTGAAGCTGGCTGGGTTGTGCCCTGTCCTGAGCCAGGCCCTCTTCCCCAGATGACCTACTCCCTGACGCGATTCGCCATCTATGAGACAGCGCGGGACCACCTGGCCAAGGGCAGCCAGGGGCCTCTCCCCTTCTCCACCAAGGTGCTGCTGGGCGGCTTCAGTGGTGAGCACGGCTGGCTGAGCTGGGGCTGGCTCGGGCAGATGCCTCCAGGCATCACATGTTGTGGCCCCATGGTTCTGTTGCCCAGGTTTAACCGGAGGCTTTGTGGGGACCCCCGCGGATTTGGTCAATGTCAGGTTTGTGTGTACCCTTTCCTGTTCCCAGACAGCCCAGGGCCTGCCCTGTGTCTTGCTGGGGTCTGCAGTATGCTCACCCTGGAACAGGCAGCTCAGACCCTGGCGTCTGGGAATGGGGTGGGGGGGCTTGAAGGCCCCATGGGACTGCCCTGGACCTCAGCTGTGTCTAGCAGCTACCTGCCCTGCTATTTCAGGATGCAGAACGACATGAAGCTGCCCTCGAATCAGCGGCGCAAGTGAGTAGTGGGTAAGGCTCTGCCAGCAGGGGCCAGGACTAGTCAGGGGACCCTGGGCAGCCTTGCACCACCTGGCCAGGACTCCAGCAGGCCACATCACCTATGGGGTCCTGTGGAACAGGTGTTGGGGGCTGATCGGGAGCAAACACTGTACTTGGCTGCTAGAGGAGTCACTTGGTCCCCCGGATTCTTTCCTTATGGGAAGAGTGTTGCTAGGTTGAGAGCTGGCCCCCAGCTGCTGACACCTGCCCACACCTGGGGATGGACTTGGAAAGTCCTGGATCGTGGCTGAGGGACAGCCACACCCGGGCATCCCTGTGGGTGTGTGTGCAGGGCCCAGAGCCTCAGAGACCCTGGAGCAGAGCACATGAGATAAGCATGACCCCTCCAAGAGGCTCCCAGGCACACCTCTCTGTCTACTCTCAGGGTGGCCAGCTGTGGTGACGTGGGTCGGGGTGCAGCCACCCCTCCTGCTGCAGCAGCCCAGTCCTTGCCACCAGCCTGCAGTATCCCTGGCCAGAGCCTGAGCCATCTCGCTCTCTGCTCAGGACTCCCAGGCGGTGTCTGGTTTCTTGCTGGTGTCCCTCTGGCCTTCCAGCCTGGAGGAGGGCAGGTGCTAACCTCTGTGGTGGGAGCCACACTGAGGCTGGGGTTCTCTGGGGAAAACAGGACCTCCCCCAGGACAGACAGGGCAGGGTGGCTGAGCTAGGAGGGGCTGTCCTGGTGAGGCTTCTGCAGGAGCCCCAGGGGCATGTCCCTCATGGTTTCCCAGCAGTTCCCAGGGCCTAGGGAGGACCCCCAGGAGCTGGTGGACAAGGTGAGCCTCAGATGGTCCATTTTTGTGTCCCTGGCAGCTATGCCCATGCCCTGGATGGCCTGTACCGTGTGGCTCGTGAAGGTGAGAGGAGCCGGCTCCCTGGGGCCCCAGGGCAGGGGCCAGAGGAGGGGAGTGCTGTGCGGGACCTGGGGTGCTGTGGGCCTGGGGCTGGGCTGTGTGCTCAGGGCCGGCCTTCCTCCTGCAGAGGGTCTGAGGAAGCTGTTCTCCGGTGCGACGATGGCCTCTAGCCGCGGGGCCCTGGTCACCGTGGGTCAGGTAGGGCTCCTGTGGAGGGTGGGGCTTGTGGGCAGCCTCCCTCACCATTGCCATGCTTGGGGGATTGTAGGGCACCTGCTGTCCTGTGGGCACAGGGGGTCAGGACTGCAGCCTGGGTCTGGGCCTCCCTGTCCCCAGGGTGGCAGTGGCGAAGGTGGTGGGCAGAGCAGGTGCTTGGTCACTGCCTTCCCCCGCTGAGGCTGTGATTGGCCCTGACCACCCTGCCCCCACTGCAGCTATCCTGCTATGACCAGGCCAAGCAGCTGGTCCTCAGCACCGGATACCTGTCTGACAACACCTTCACCCACTTCATCGCCAGCTTCATTGCGGTCAGTGCCCGGCATAGCGAGGGCGGGGTCCCTGGCCCTGCCTCCAGGGCTGAGGGCACCCTGTGAGGTGAGGTGGGCAGGTGGAGGCACTGGGTGAGCCTGGTGCTGCCTCTCTGGGTCACACAAGTGGCTCCGGGGCGTTGGAACTTGTTAGGATGAGTCCTGGTGTCCCCTGAGGTCCCTGAGCCTGCAGCCTCCAGAAGCTCCTGGAGTGGGGCCAGGGTGTGAGCGGTGCCTGCAGGCCAGTTGGTGACAAGCCCCCTCCCCAGGGTGGATGTGCCACGTTCCTGTGCCAGCCCCTGGACGTGCTGAAAACCCGCCTGATGAACTCCAAGGGGGAGTATCAGGTGAGGCCGCTGGCCAGCGTCCCCTCTGGCGATGGGAGGGACTGAGGCAGGGCTTGCCCCTGCCAGGGTGGGGGAGGGTTGTGCCTTCTCTTGGTGGGGGAGGGCTGTTTCAGATCAGTGTCCTTCAGAGGCAGCCTGGGATGAGGCCTGTCCTGCTGGGCCTCCTGCCCAGCTGTCCTCTGTTTTCCTGGCCCCCCTTCTCTTTGCCAGCAGCCCCTTCAGGGCACACACAGCAAGGCCTGGTGCCCTGGGCTTCGAGCCCCTGTTAACCGCGGGCTGCTGTCCTCGGGCTGCTCTGGGGCCATATGCCGGCCAGTGCCAGGCTCACCTCTGCTCTCTCCCGTCTGCATCTCCTGCAGGGTGTTTTCCACTGTGCTGTGGAGACCGCGAAGCTTGGACCACTGGCCTTTTACAAGGTGCGTTGGGGTGGCAGGCCGCGGGGCCTCCTGGCCTCACGGGCCTCCTGGCCTCACGCCTCCGTCTCGGCCCAGGGCCTCTTTCCCGCAGGTGTCCGGCTCATCCCCCACACTGTGCTCACCTTCGTGTTTCTGGAACAGCTGCGGAAACACTTCGGTGTCAAAGTGCTGACCTGATGACCCCCAGGCTGCTGGGCAGCGGGGCTGGCCCAGGAGCAGCCCTGGGGAAGAGGCAGGCTCAGCCTCCTGTCCTTCCCAGCCTGGGCCACACTGTGCCACCCCCACACTGGGGCTGCCTGGGCCTCCCAACCCTGCCTGGGCCAGGGCTCCCTCCAGGGGCTTGTCCCCTCTGAGCCCCACCAGCTCAGGCCCCTTGCCACCCGCAGTGGGTGTTAGCCTGCCCCTCCCCCCACAGGGGGGCCCCAGGGCCCCTGGTGTTCCAGTTGCTGGAGCTGGGAGGGGTCCTGTCCCTGTTCCTGCTCACTAGGTGGCAGCCCAGGCCTGAAGAGCAGCTCCCAGTCGCCTCTGCCCAGGCCTTGGGTGACAGCTGTGACATGGGCACTTTTGTGTCACCAGGGAGCTGTAGTTTTGGTGTCCTCAGAGGTAGTGCCCCTCTGAGACCTGCTACAGGGAAAGGGGCCCAGATGACAGATGACCTTCCAGTGCCCCAGGCCCTCCCCACACCCAGCTCCAGCCGCTTTACTGGTCAGTTTTGCCAAAACCTCTCAGCACCCTAACCTTCAGGGGTTGGCCCAAGCCCGCCTGTGCCTTCCCCTCCTGGCAGCCTGGAGACAGGCCCACACTGGCAGAGAGGGGCCAGCTGGGACATCCATGTGCTGCAGAGTGTCCTCCAGGACTTTCTTCCCTGTATGGCAGGTGGTCACTCGCCAGAGCCCCCCAGTAGCCAAAAACCATCACCAAAGCTGCCTGTTTCCCCCAAGTGGGGTCGGGCGCCGGTCTGCCTCCCTGGTCCCTTGGCACTGGGCACGGGATGGGGCTAGTGGATCCAGGGGTGCTGTGGTGCAGCTCTGCAGGGGCCTAATAAATGACAGAGACTGCTCCGTGCCTCTTCCCTACACACACTACTGGCAGGGCGGTGGGCCCCCTCTGCACCGGGCCGGGAGGAGGCGCTGGTTTGTGGGGCAGGCACCTGGCCCTGCCTGAATACACGTGCACAGAGAAACTGGGGTCGGGCAGCCTCCCCAGCACAAGCAGGAGGGGGAAGCGGGGAGTGAGCCCCGGCCTGCGGGTGGCTGGCGTGGGACCCTGGAACACGGCTGATCCCAGCCAGGGCTCGTGGTCCCGACACCGTCCTCGAGCACTGCCCTCCTGCATTTCCTCACGCTGGTCGGGGTCCCGCCTGTGGGCAACAGAACCAGGGTGGTGCCCTGGGCCTAGGGCCTGGTGGGTCCTGGTTGGCAGGAAGCTGCTGACTCCCTGGGTCTGCAGCTGGGGCCTGGCTGGGGTGGAGGGAAGCAGGGCTTCTTCACCCCTGCGAAGAGCCAAGGCGAGGCCTGGCCCCACATTCCCAAACCTGCTGGCACTATCTCAGGGAGCCCTGGAATAGGAATCCCTCCTCACCGGGAAGCTGGCCCGTCCCCCAGCCTCTTCAGCTCGGAAGCTAGCCCTGCCTGGACAGAGCCTCCCTGGAGGGAGGGAAGTGCCTGGTCTGGTTTGGTGGGGTGGCCTGGCAGCCATCCCTGCAGGGCAGGGTGCAGAGGTGGGGCGGGAGGGGCCCCAACCACAGGGCGGGGCTGTGGGCCAAGTGCCCAACAGGAAGGGGGTGGGGCAAGTCGGAGGGCAATGCCACCTGTGGGAGTCAAACCTGGCAGCAGGAAGGGGTGGGCTGGCCAGCACCCAGGTGACTGCCGGCCCCGGGCCCCAAGGCGAGACCCAGGCGACTTCCTGCCTGGGCTGGCACTTATGGTTGACCAGTCACAGAGCCATCATTTAGTCATTTACTAAGACAGCCATCAGCTGGGTGCCAAGGTGCTCCCCTGGGAGAACAGCTGAGCCAGGGCTCCAGGACAGCAGGTGCCCCACATGCACAGGGACAGTGGACCTTGCCTTCTTGGCCACACACAGGAGGTCCCTGGGCATGGCCCGGATCCACCTGTGGAGTGGAGGCCAACTGGTGGGAGCTGTGACGCACCAGGAGACTGTGGAGGCTGTGCATGCAGGGCTCGCCCAGCAGGGGGCAGCCAGAGAAGGGAGGCTCGGGTGAACCCTGTCACCAGGGAGGCTGGGCCTCCTGTGGGATGCCTCAGGAGCACGCTTGGCTTGCTCTGGTTGGTCAGGAGCCAGGAGGTTAGGGAAGGGCTGGGGAGAGCCCAGTGTGGAGCACTTGCCTGGTGTGCAGAAGGCCCTGGGTCCATGACCAGGAATATTGAGGAGCTGTCAGTTATTAACAGAGTTTGGTCGCTTTGGGCCAGCTACTGCAGGGCAGTTGGCCTCCTGGCTGGGTTGTGGCTGATGGCGGGTCAGAGTTCTCTTCATACATGCAAGACCCCAGGGCCTGGCACACACTGAGCACATGCTTCACCACTGAAGTACACCTTAGTCTCTCCTTGGATTCTGTGTGGTCGCTTGCATTGTCTGTTGGCTCCGATTCTCAGGACCACATATTTGGTAAAGGGTTCTTAGCTTTGATAGCAAAACACAAGCAACAAAAGAGAAAGCAGGCAGTGTGCACTTTTTCAAAATAAAATCAGCCTTGGGTCTCTGCCTCTTGTCGGGCTTGGACAGCACCCAGCTGGGTTGGGGTTTCCTGGGCTTGCATCTCTGTGGTGCCTAGAGACAAGTGGCAGTTACTGACGACAACTCTGGTTCTGTATTTCCTGCGTGATTTTTTACAATAAGACACCAACTACTTAAGAAATAGACACTTTAATTCATCTATTGAACAAATCGGAAGAATATTCCAAGAGGTGAAACCTCTTTAAAAAACAGGTCAAGGGGCTGGGGATGTGGCTCAAGCGGTAGAGCACTCCCCTGGCATATGTGCGGCCCGGGGTTCGATCCTCAGCACCACATACAAACAAAGATGTTGTGTCTGCTGAAAACTAAAATGTAAATAAAATATTTTAAAAAAGTCAAATTTTTGAATTCATAGTGGCTAGATGTGGTTGTAAATCAACCAATGGCATGAAAAAAATGCTTCAAAGAATACATATATGTGCATGGTTGCCCATGTGTGACCAAATGTCTCTTTCTTATGCTTCATGGCTTTTTATTTTGCTATACCTTTTAAAGAATATGCCCCTTCGGACTGGGGCTATAGCTCAGATGGTGGAGTGCTGGCCCTGCATGCGCAAGGCCCTGGGTTCAATCCCCAGCACCAAAAAAAAAAAAAAAAAAAAAGGAACATGCCCTTTCATCAGATCAAGAAATTGCCCTTGTGTGTGGTGGCACACACCAGTGACTCGGGAGGCTGAGGCAGGAGCACCACAAGTTCCAGGCCAGCCTCAGCAACTCAGTGAGACCGTCTCAGAAAACAAAAGGTGCTGGGGTGTGCTCGGTGGTACAACGCCCCTAGTTTCAGTGCCAGTACCAAAGAGAAAGACTGGTGCACGCCTGGAATCCCAGCGGCTTGGGAGGCTGAGGCAGGAGGATTGCAAGTTCAAAGCCACCTCAGCAACTCAGTGAGGTACTAAGCAAATTACAGCGAGACCATGTCTCTAAATAACATAAAAATTTTAAAAAGGGCTGGGGATGTGGCTCAGTGATCAAGTGACCCCAGGTTCAGTCCCTGGTACAAAAAAAGAAGAAAAAGAACCTACAGGAAAGAGTTGTCTGGCTTGAATGTCAGTGCTGTGCGAGCAGGTGGAGGACTGGAGGCCCCGGGTGCCCTGGGCGCTATGTGGGGCTGTCAGAGGTCCACCAACCGACACCGACACGTGGTGACTGGGAGCACCGGGAACCTGGACTGGGTGGCCCTTCGCTGCCTGAGGGAGTGCGTGTCGGGGGCACTGAGTGGAAGGGTAGGGGTAGGGGTTCCAGACAGAGGGCTGAAAAGAACAGGCATCAGGACAGCCGTGATCCCTGCAGAGCTGCTTTCTAATGCAGGGACAGGGGGGCAGCAAAGGAAAGCAGCCCCCGGCTGGCCTCTCCTGACACCTCCATCCAAGCCTGTTGAGGGGGCCTGTGTGGGTCTGGCTGCTGTTCCTCCAGCGCTGGTTCCGGGAAGGTCAGGTCAGTGGCTCAGGTCCTGATGGGAGCTTGGCCTGAGTGACTCCATCTGGACCTTAAGCTGGGCCTATGCAGAAGCCTACTCCCCCTCCCCCTCCTCTTCCTTCCTTCCCTCTCCTCCTCCTCCTCCTTCTCTCCCTCTTAGGGTGCCTGTCCCTCCCCAGCCTGAAGCTGCAGAGGGGCCAAGCCAGAGTTCAGCTCCTGGACAGGGTAGAGCTGAGAGCTAGGGGGCCCCACCCATGTGACTGGGTCAAGAGCAAGTTCAGAAAGACCACTTGAACTTTATTACGACAGACAATGAGCTGCACAGAATCATGTTTTATTGGTCATATGCCTCTCTACAAACATCACCCCAGACCAGAGTGGGCACACCTGGCCTCCAAAAGCCTCCTCCCTCCCGGCAGCAGCCGCTGAGGTACATGCAGGGAAGGGCTCTACCCTGGAGCTACACTCCCGGCCTTTTGTCTTTTACTTTGAGACAGGGTCTCAGGAAGTTGCCCTCGGCGGCCTTGAACTTGCGGTCCTCCCGTGTCACTGGGGTGATGACATGGATAGCCATGCTTGGCCAAAAGAGAACATTCTAGGCAATATCAAAGACGGAGCCATAAGAGAACACTGCGACGACTTCCTGCCAAGAGTGGGAGTGGCACGACGAATGGGGGTGCTCCGGACCCAAGTCAAGGCTGAGCATGGACGCAGCGGCTGGGGGTGCTGCGCAGACCCTGCCCCACAACCTCTGCTGTGGGTGGCCCAGAGCAGCTGGACTTGATCCATCACTGACAGCTTCCCTCATTCTAGTCCCCTCTTCTTCAGAACCAACCAGAGGAAGACAAATACCCTCCCCTGACCAAACCCACAGAGCTCTGGAGCCACTCCTGCTGGGACCTGGCCCCGGGGCTCCCCTGAACCTTCCCTTTTCCCCTAAAGCCTCCCCGTGGCCTGCCTCCCTGTGGCCTGCCTCCCYGTGGCCTGCCTCCCCGTGGCCTGCCTCCCCGTGGCCTGCCTCGGGCTGGGCTCCT